CCAAGCAAGCCTTCAACAGAATAATCATTCAAGGGATTTCTTACATGGTAGTTCAACTGATTAGCATGTAAGCCAAAGGATCCTGTGTATGTGGATGTAAAGACTAGTTCTGGAGATCTTGTGAAGTATTTTAATCATGTTGTCCATATAGTAGCATAAGACCACTGGCAAGTGGTCTAATTGCCTGTGGACTGAAGCATCCATGGCAGTTAAGATCTCATGTAATGTGCTTTTTTCCAGATTGCATTGGTCTGACAAACTGGTATGGAAGCAATGACAGGATGCATGGCAGAGCCTGCTAAGGATAAGAGGACCTCTAACCTTGTTGACCAGGACCTTAAACATAGAATTATCCTCTACAGCAGTGTTTCTCAACCCTTTTCCTATCAGGGCACCCTTGAAAAATAATTTTCAGCCTCGAGGCACCCCAGTTTAAGGCTTGGTTCACATTAGTGCATATCAAAATTGTACATGACACAAAAAGATGCTGTTCATGAGCAGATACACAGGTGTGTCCCTAATTCTTAATGGTACCCCCACACATTGGCAAATGCAGTGTATTTTCAATGCAGCGCAATTTTATAAAAAATTATGGGGGACTTCTTGTCCTGTGTTTCTGAGGGTAGGGAAGCCCACTGAAATGAATGGATTTGACTACATGCAGCAACACAGATGTGAACCTCTATTTTGGGGAGCGCAACTCCATATCCCATTCTCTCCTCACCTCTGAACTGCTAACACCCCACCCACCTCTGTGCCACAAAAAACACCCCCCCTTTCTGCTCACCTCTGTACCCCTAACCGCCCACTCTTCTCTGTACCCCAAAACATCCTCTATCCACCTCTATACCCAAACTCCCCACTCTTTGCTCACCTCTGTACCACAATCTTCCCACTCTGCTCACCTCTATACCCCAACCCCCCTCTTTGCTCAACTCTGTACAACCTCCTCTCTCTAGTCACCTGTATCCCAAACCCCTCTCTCTGCTCACCTCTGTACCCCAAACCCCCTCTCTGCTCACCTCTGTACCCCCAAACCCTCTTTGCTAACCTGTACCCTAAACCTCCTCACTGCTCACCTCTGTACCCCATTCTCTCTGCAAGCAAACCCCCACCTTCCCCTCTGATCCTCTCCGTTCCCCGCTTACCTCTCATCAGAACCCTGGGGCAGGACCATTCTTCCACTATAAACCACAAGGCTGGCTAAGTAAGGTTTGTGGAAAGGCTAGTGAACTTCAAGTGCATATGACTGGCTGTGGAGTGTATCTTTTGTATCGGTGGTTGGTTGAAGACTTAGCACATACTTCTACTGCTTCTTGCCCCCTTACCTGGTCCTTCGAGCTCCTCCTGTGCTGATGTGTGACACAGTTTGGCAGAGAGTGCTGTCTCAGCTACCGAAAGAAGTGTGCCTTCCACCACCATATAGAACAGACTGCTAGCCGTGTACACCTTCCAGAAAAGCGCATGGGACCACCCTTAGCAGCAGATTATGTCATCAGTTGGCAGGACACGAGCGGGTTGCTACGGCACCCCGGTTGAGAAACGCTGATCTACAGGGGCAGTGAGGGTCTTGTTAAGAAATAAGACGGCAGGGTCTGCAACAGGAAGAATCTACTTTTGCAGGAAATTTTCTTCAAAAGGCTACTGATCTGAAAATCAAAGTAAAAATCTTCTCAGTCTCCATATAGGACAGGTTCATTGAGTGAATGGACTGGGAAGGTCTTAGCAGGCTTAGGTAAATTTGTTTGGACCCCAAACTGGAAACCTTGCAGTAAGCAGACTCAGGTTGCTTGAACACTATACAGCAACACTAAGAGTAGCAATGATATGAAGTTCGGATGAAATTTCATCTGAAGGTACCTCATCCTAATCCAGAGTCTTGAGACTAAAGGGGTGGGGGGGGGGGGGGGGGTGTCGTCTTAAATCTAGCACTTTCTAAAAAGGTAGTAAAGTCTGCCTCAAGGGCAAAGTAAAAAAAACTACGTGAGGGAAATCTGAAGAGGCCCCATCCGAAACCCCTGGTATCAATGGGCTTTCAAGGGCCTGAAATCAGACTGGGGGAAAACGTGTGAACAGAGGGTACTAGGGCCCTGTGGAGATAAACTACTGCCCCCCTTGATGCTCTGGACTGAGTCTGAGCTAGCAAGGCCATCTGACGCCTTTCCTTGCCCTTGTGAGCTGCGATGGGCAGTGTAAAGTGTCCCCAGATGCAAGATGTGTGCTCAGGACCTTTACTGCTGTAGAGAGGGAAGGGAAGGCCTCTTGTGCCAAGCACTATAGGCTGCTTGTCACCCAAGTAGATCGCTATATCGCAGTGATGTGGAAAAGGATCATGAATAGAGAGGTGTTGCCAAACTGGAGGCTTGCCTAGTATCTGATGATCACCTGAAAGTATCTGCATATAACCCATGAATAAAGACTTATGCTGGCCATAGACGGTTCGAAAATCGGCCGATTTGTTCGTCCGAAAGATAGTGGGTTAATTAGTCGGCCAGTTTTTGTGTTTTTTTCCACTTTTGGATTATCGGTCATGTTAGAAAATTGGTGGAAAAAAAACTGATTTTCGCGTTAATGATGGTAAAAATCGTACGATCGTTTTTACAAAAAAAATATGCTCATGAGCCGTGACCTAGAAGGACCAGAAGTTTTGCCCGTTATATGGGGTGAACTTTACGACTTGGTCGGCCGATTTTCGTAATAAGTGGTGGTTACGTCGGTTTAACAAACAAGCAATGTTTCGTTTATCAGACGAAAAAACGTCCGGTTTTTGAGCAGTCTATGGCCTGCATTAATATTAACTCTCCAAAACTATTATAATGTTCTTATTGTCACAGGGAATTATCAAAGCAACAAACTCAATGCAAGCATTAAAAAGATGGTTATGATAAGGCTTTAATTTACAAAGGCACAAAATTAGAGGTTGACAGCACAAGGAAATGGAATAAAACAATGGTTCTCAGTTCCCCAAATCTTGTCAACAAACTATTAGTAAAACAAATGGCAAAGTAGTAAATGCAGAAATGCAATTAGGAGTCTTTCAGTTTCCGAACTGGAACAGTGTTGGGGTCATGTCACACTAGGAGCTTTGTAGCAGATATCTGTGTGGATACTAACAATTCAACGAGCTGCTGAAGTTGGCTACAAATGTTCTCCATGTAGCTACAAATCCCTAGTGTCCCATGACAACTAACAACTGCATTAAATAGACGCATACTTCAGCCAGTGATTCTGTAGGTAGTACCAGTCAGCCTGCTGTCAGAAAACAACAACACAGCAGGATTCCACCTTGAACATGTGAATGAGGACTCAGGTCCATTTTTTTCGCTCAATCAGCAGGTTGAAAAAAAAAAAACAAAAAAAAAACTAATCCATCCATGGTCAGCTTAGCCCAGAACAGAAACAGCAATAGTCCTGTTAGAGTATGTTCAGAGATAGCAGCAGCAGCCATCGACTCATTGGCCTACACCCAGGATTAAAATATCACTTCCAAATGGACTTTGTATTTAAAAGAAAAACAAAACACCTTAAAGTGTATTTGCAGGTTGCAGTAAAATTTGGGAAACCCCTACTAAAAGGTTTATATATTTGTTTGTTATGTCTTTCCATTCACCCAACATAAATCCTCATACTCCTGCTTCATATGGAGCAGGATTATGCATAGGTGCTATACTGCTTTAGATAAATGACAATGGGATGATAAATGGAGTTTTTTTTTTTTTTTGGTGCATTAACATACAATGAACCAATCAAGCCCTGATCATCTTTAACGCTTTGTTAGGAGAGCCAGTGTTCAAAGAACTCAACAGCCCAGTCATAAAAATTACATAGAAAGTGAGAATCAAGTAGAAAAGAGGATGTAAAAGAGGGAGGAAGATCTTTTTGTAAATTAAGCGCTATGAAAAAGTATAAACATAAAAAGCAAGGTAACAAATATAAAGTAGGTCTTTTCCCAGTTCGACTGCACATGTGGAAATACAATTTACATTCTCAGTGACAAGTCTGGTATGAATACACTGAACCAATGCTTTCCTTTGCCTTTTTCTTCGGTTTTGATAGATTTTCACACTTGCACCTGGAAATTTTTCTTTTATGAACAACCTACAAACAGCTTTCCCACCAATAGTTTTCCTAGTGGTGCAGAACTCTTGTGACTGAACCACCACTTTCTCTTCTCTCACATGTCAAAAAACTTATCCCAAATGTTACTGTAACTCCAAATTAGGTCACCAAATGTGCAAACTCCTGACCGCTGATAAACAATGCATTGTCATATTAGGATCTCTGAAGAAGAAAAAAAAACAAAAAACGAAGATGCATGGCTTGTGACAACACATGTGCAAACGGAGGAGAATCTTTCACCGTGTAGACCAGAATCTTCAGTACATTTATTTTTGGCAGAGTCGCAGTTATAAAATGAACACTTTCATATTTAAATAACCTATTGTTTGTTGACAAGTTTATGAAAATAAAACAACCCAATAAATACAGTGACTGAACAATGCTCTCACCTTCAGCAGCATTCAAAGTACACTACAGAATCCTTGAAGTGAAATAAGCCATGGGGTATGGCAAAAAGCTAAAGAATCAATGTAAACTGCACTGGCATGCTTTCTTACCATGCAAATGACTGAAAATTCATTACTTAGAACAATGTTTATGTTATTTCTACAAACCAATGGAGTTTAGTAGGCTTATAATGTTTAACCCAATTTATAGACCTGTCATAAGTGGGAAATTTTTAAATAATTGTACACTGCTGATGATCCAACATATATCTGTTTTTGGGGGAAAAAGGAAAATCTGTACATTAAGGTATCATTATCCTATATACAGTTATTACTATTATACAGCTAACTGTGGTGTCCGTTAGGTTAAAAAAAAAAGTCAGTCCCTCAAGTCCTCTAAAAATAAGTCACTCTTCTCCAGAACAGATATTGTGTAGTTCCAGGTAGCCAAAATACAAGTCCACACAGAGCAAAGGTCTTGGTATTACCAGCTTGTTAATCTACTCCTAAAGCCTTGAGTTGGCGCTCAATCTCTTCATCAGATATGGTTGATGTTTTGGATGAGGCTGCGGAGGGAAGGCCTTTGGCGGCTGATGGAGCGTTTGCCATCTGCAAAAAAAATTTACATATGAACATTAGATATTTCAAGAATTATGAACCACAGATCATGCCTAGTTTGAAGACCAAGCCTTTTCTGGCCATTTTAGGTTTACATGTACCTTTTTTTTTTTTTTTATTGCTGGAAAATTTCTTACCCCGAACCCCAAAACATTATATAGGCTTAATACTGAACTTCAGGCAAACAGCTAAATACACAATGAAATACATACATGAGAGCAGTTTTATCTAACAAAGGATTTGCATTCTGTCCTTTCAGTCCAGAGATTTACACAGCTCTGTTGCATAGCATCTCCTGGATTGACTTTTCTCTGCAGCACTTTCACTTACAAGTTTTTTTCCTATCATCAGCCTATGACACTGAAGGAGGAGCAACATGCGGATAAGCCCTTTCTGCTTCCTCCTATCACTTGCACTTCTTCCTCCCCTTCTCTGAACTCTGCAGTCCAGAACTTACCATAGACTGTGAGAGGCTACCAGTAGGTTCAATTAAAGCCCAACTTCATAAACAATTCAGTGGGGAGTGTAGCCCCACTGCAAGGGTCAACTGTTTGTTTATATCAAGAGGGCATTGAATTACCAGATCATCTGCATGTCTAGATAGGTCACCGCAGCGTCTTCTCTCCTCCATTCCAGCGTTCTAAGGTCCTAATGTTAACAAGACCAACACAGGGTGCATAAATCTGCACTGGATACGGCTGGCAAATGGAGGAGTGCCGTCTGCCCCGGGAGAAAAGAATCAGGTAAGAAGGGGGGGGGGGGGGCACTTTAAACTTTTTTTTTTCCATTTATTTCAATTTTGGGGGGGAGATTTTGCACTGTCCCTTTAAAAAAATTATAATTACTTTTATTCCTATCACAAGGATTGCATGCATCCCTTGTGATAGAAATAATTACTGACAGGTCCTCTTTATAAAGAGATATGGGATCAATAAGGCCCCACATAACTCCTCTACAATGTAAAGCATTAGATCAAAAAAAAAAAAAAGCCTTGTTTACAAGACACTGGAAGTGACATCTCTCCAGTCCTCCAAGGGCATAGAAATGAGTGGAGGCCATCTTTCCTTCACTAATCTCTATGCCCAGCGTCAGGATTGTTCGCTGGTTTCTCAGGTGAGGCTCAGAACTACCCAGCGGCGGGCGGCAGTGCCGAAGGGGTGGGGGTTTTTTCGGCACCTGTATCGCTGCTTTTTTTCATATCAGCCAACAATCGATAAGAGCCAAAACTTTTTTGCCACTGCAATTTCAGTGCACCCCTAATACATAGTCTAACTTGAATCTTGGTGTGCTTTGTGTATTTCTTCCAGATCTGTAAAACTCCTTGGACACTAGGGAACAGCAAATATGCAACCCCTGTCATGCCAAAACCAGCCTGCATGCCCTTCAGCATTAAGGACAGTTGAGAGCGATCAAAACTTGGTGGAAAAAGTAAATGTCAAGGGGACAAGTTCAGAAATGCCACATACTTTTCCTGAGATTTCGATTCCAATTTCATCTAGAACCTGATTCACAATGTCCTGGCTTTCTTCTTCATCATCTGAGGCATCAAAAATATCATCCAATGTGTCATTTACTGTAAAAAATAAACAGAGGTCAGATGAAATGTGTCAAAATCTTACCAAAGGCCAATACCTCTCATAACATCCAAAATCCATAAGCAGCAGAGTGGTTAGCACTTCTACCTACCAATACTAGGGTCGTCGTTTTGAATCCCACCATAGCAGTACTTGCATGGGTTTCCTCTGGGTACTCCAAAGACATGCTGGTAGGTTCATTGGATCCTGTTTAAATTGGACCTGGTATGTGTGAGTTAGGGACCTTAGACTGTAAGCTCCTTCAGGGCAGGGACTGATATATATATATATAATCTATGTGCTGATTAAATTGTTGGCGCTTTATAAACATATACCAATGTCTTAGCCACTATGGCCTATTAGGGTAAACGACCCTTCCATGAAAATTGGGTCAATACATTCATATGCAGCAAAAAAAAAGTCTTCAGTTAAACAATCGCTGTACTGTGAACAGTTTGATATAAATTACATCCTGCACCTAATAACTTGTTTGAATAATGGCACACCACCCCCTTGACCAACAAAGATGTGTAGTCTGAGCACTTCACTATCTCAGCTGGCCAAAATATGCATGATGAAGCACCAAGGTTTCAGAGCTACCAAGGGGCTTTACAAGGTATGCAAGCATGCTTGTACCACTAGGTATCTACTTTCAATAGCAGTTGTTGATTTAGGGAAGCATTTGCATGTGACAACTGCTTGGCAGACATGCTAATAATCAACCCAAGGATGGCAGTAAGCCATCTGAAAAAACGTTTGCCAAAAGGTTACTAGGTGTTTGAAGCCAGCAGTAGTACTCATTTAAAAGGGAATGTAAAGGCTCAAGGTTTTTTTACCGACCTGCATTCTATGCATGGACAGTAAAAAAGCCTTCTGTGTGCAGCAGCACCCCCAAATACATACTTGAGCCCCATCGTGATCCAGCAATGTGCACGAGAGCCTCAGCTCTCCAGGGACTCTCTCCTCCTCATTGGCTTAGCCATTGGCTTCCGCTGCTGTCAACCACAGCCAGTGAGTCAATTAAGAGAGAAAAGGGGCAGGGCAGGCCACAACTCTGTGTGTGAATGGACACAAGAGCATCAGCTTGGCGGAAGGAAGCCCGCTTGGGTGCCCCATAGTAAGCGGATTGTTCTGGGGGCACTTGGCAGGAGGGAGGGGCTAGAAGTGCAGGTGGGAACCAGAGAAGAGAAGGATCAGGGCTGCTATGTGCAAAACCACTCCACAGAGCAGGTAAGCATGACTTTTTTTGTTTTTAATTGCCTTTAATAGTACATTGAAATAAAAACATTTTAAAATAAAAAAAAAAAATCAATGCTATGCCATTCCTTACGACAGTCTGATTTTGTTTGATATCCTGAGGATGGATTTATTTCCCTTAGAGGTTGATCAGATTGCCAGTCTTCCAGCCTGCTATGTGCCCCAGCAGTCCTTTGTCCAGTTACTTACACTTAATTTTTGAACAAGCAAATGCATTAATCAGCAATACACTGCAGTGTGTTGTAAAAACTGCAGCTCAAAGTTACCCTGCCGAATTAAACAAATTTTCATCCTAAAATCTGTGCTGAAGATAGAAAGCTACTGCATACCTTCATAGAGGTGCATATACAGAATTCATAGAACAGTACAACCACCATAATTGTGATAGGAATTGTGCTGAACAGCACCTTTATAAATATGGCTCACAGAAATTCAGCTGGACCTAAATATATCTGTACTGATGTACGAAGTCTCCAGTGTGAAGCCTAACAAAAAAGTGCAATAAAACAAGATATAAAATGTCTTACTCATTTCTTCTGTCATTTCCATTTTCATATTTTCTTTCTGGAAATTTTGCATCGTTTGAAGGGTTTTCTGTGGATCCATCTTCTTGTTTACTGCTTGCATGGTCTAAAAACAAAAATACTACATTGTTTGAAAAGTTTTAAACCACTGATAATTTAAAGTTCCCTCCCACCCCCAACTGATTGCTGGACTTGAGGAAAAAAAAAAAAAGTTCTCTTTTGTTTACATTTGTCAGGGTATCTACCTCACTGTCTACATGACATGGACACTTCCTAATGGCTATCCAGCAGCAATGTTTTCTCAGATTCCAGAAGTGAAATGACATGAGCAAAAAAGAAAGTATTGGACTGGCCAGCAAGGGACCATCTGCAGCATTGGGATAGCAGTCCCCCACGCACATGAACAGCCCCAGTAGAGACTTGGACAGATTTAGGGGAGTATAACTTCCTTCGAGAGGGTAAAAACAGCAAAAAAAAAACTTGCAGGATGGGTTAGAGAGTGGTTGGAGGGAGAGGAGTTCATACTTTGGCTGGAATAGGCTTTAAACTTAGCAGTGAAACAAAACAAAATATAAAAACAAATATAACCAACTTTTAATAATAAACAAAAAAACAAAAAAACAGGCAAACCAATATATTCACAGTTGAAAAATATATCTGTGCACTTCTATACCACTAAGGCTGGCCATACAATATACAATTTTCTTGTACAATTTTCCTTTAGGCTTGCCAAAACCATATAATATGAGGTCAAATCTAAACACTAAAATTTGTATGCAATCAGGCAGGCCCTTGCACTACACTACACATTGAAGGTAAAACTAAAAGGAAGTTGAACAAGAAAACTGTATAATGTATGGTCAGCTTAATGTTTGTAAAGCTGTTCAGCCAGTCGTGTGGTTCATCTGCCTTTACAGCACTGCAGAGTCAGGGTGATGCAGTGCTATTCTGTGCCCTTGGCCTTAACTGAACTATAAATAAGCAGCAGCACACCACAAGGTTTTCAAACACAACTCCCCAGTTCTCAATCCCTCCCTGAAGTTAGATGAAATAGTGTAATAAAGTAGATCCTGAATAGCACATACTGTAATCTCCCAAACCAAGTCTGAGCGAGGGGAATAGAACTAGAGCAGCATGCCTATCCATGTATGGCACACAATCAAAGGGTCATTTCTGCTCTACCAAAAAGCAGACTATGCTATCCCTACCCTCCAGCTCAAAGAATTTAGGCCAAAACCACATTCCTGTCAGAACACAAAGGCACAGCAAGAGAGATTGCTGCACTAACATCGCTTAGTCAGTACAACAATCTCTCTTTTTTTTTTTATCCAGCCCACTGAACTGAATGGGAAAAAAAAAAAAAAAAAAGTGTACCCATCTTGTGAATGACATCACTGGGTGTTAGGACACTGGCAGCTAGAAGGTTGTAATGGTACACAATGAAAACCTGTGGCTTTGTGTAACTAAATGGCAGGCTTGATCCACTCACTGGCTTGTATATAATTTTTGTCCATTTTGCCAAGGAACTCCTGAAGAGACCTGAAGGCAACTTGGTTGAAAAAGGTTCTAACATAACATCAGGCCAGGCATACAGGATTATTTTTTCACGCTGCAGAAGAACCCATGCTGAACACTGCACATCAGTTCCTAATTTGTGCTCAAATTTCAAGGTACAGATTTGCATGAATGTGAGGGGTGGTAACAGCTGAAAAGAAAATGCATTGCATTCTGTATTTAGAGGGACTATATGAGGATTGGCTGATTCATGTACCCAATTGTTATGTTCACTTCATTCTGCATGTCAGTTTTTGTTTGGAGCATGTTTTTTTTGTGTATTCTTAATTTCAGCACTGTTATATGATGAAAACTATGTTTGCCTCAGATGTATATCCCGTTAGGGGATACGGGCATTTACTGAGTTTTTTACATGATCTGAATGTAACCTGTATATGTTATCATTGTGCCTCTTCTCTCAATAAAATTGTTTTTGAAAAAAAAAAAAAAAAAACTGAAAAACTGCATTATGTGTAATAATTAGTGCAAGTTCCAGACATTACTGGAGACTACAGTATAGTTTCTTGCCAGGAGGTTTTCTTTAAGTTCAGTTAATCACTTTTCAAGTAACTATTGTATGTAGCAGCTGTGTGGTCTCACCTTAGCTGTGGTAGACATTGCACGGCCATCTTCATCTGGGAGCTCATGACTTTGGTCTGCGTCGACATGGATGTGACTTTGGAACTCACAGCATAGGTTCGTGTTTTCTGCTTACGGAGCTGTACTAATTGCTTTGCCAGTATCCGGCAGGCATCTTTGTTTCCTGCCTTCGCCATTTTTTTTATTTCCATTTCCTGACAAGATTGAGAAAATGAAAACTCTTAAGTAGAAAGGCAAACACAGGATTGCATATATCATACACAATGAAATGATGGTCAAAACAGATATCCTCTTACTAAAAGTGTAAATGAACGGAAGGATAATAAACACAAAAACGTTTAATGTGCCCCCAAATCACATCTACAGCTTTAACCACTTGCCTACCAGGCACTTTCACCCCCTTCCTGCCCAGGCCAATCTTCAGCACTGTCGCACTTTGAATGACAATTGTGCGGTCATGCAACACTGCACCAATGTGAAATTGTTATTTTTTTTAAACAGATAGAGCTTTCTTTTGGTGGTATTTAAATCACAACTGTGATGGGCACTGATAGGCTGCAATGGTAGATGGCACTGATGGGCATTGACAGGCATCACTGGTGGGCATTCACAGACATCGAGGGGCACTGAAAAGCAGTACTCATATGGCACTGATAGGAGGCACTGACGGGCACTGTTAGGAGGCACTGATTGACAGCACTCATAGGTGGCACTGAAAGGCAGCACAGATGGGCACGGATATGTGGCATTGATGTGTCCTGGTAAGCACCGACAGGTGGTATTGATGTGCCCTGATGGGCACCGACTGGTGGCATTGATGGCAATGACAGGTGGCACTGATGTGGCTACACTGATCATCAGTGCCTTGATGATCAGTGTAGATGTCCCCTCTGAGGAATGCCCGATTACTGGCTCTCCTCTCCTCACGAACTGTCAGCGTGACAGCTGGTGAGGAGAGGAATGCCGTTAACCGGCATTTCCTTATTTACATGAGATCAGCTGTGATTGGACACAGCTGATTACATAACAGAGCTGAAGTCATCGGCTTTTTCCGCTGATCAGTGATCCACTGTGTCCCAGGGACACAGTGCACCACCGATCGGCGCGCACGCGCGGTTAGAGTGGGAGGACATCATATGATGTCCTCCCAGAACGGGAAAACCACTTTGCGCCCATCATTTCCTTACATGGCAAGTGGGAGGCGGTTAAGGAAAGTAATCTCAATATCAATTTACCAAAGTGTCTTTCATTTCAGAAATATTTTCCCAGCATCCTCACCAAACTCAGACTAGTACATGATTAATTCCAATTAGATGCTAAGTTTCTACAGGAACTGCACTTCACACTAAGCAGTCTGCTCTTTGTCCAGTATTTAATGCCATCTGATATCACTGCTAAAGTACATCTGTCTGTTAACAGCTTGCCAAGCTGGCTTTAATAATAACATGCAGGTATGAAGAGGTGCCTTCACATACCCTTAGATGTACACTTTGAGTACCTTAAATCCTGTGACGCTCTTACAGGTGAATCACAATATTCATTGACACTTCCTAGCTTGCCCTTCTCTATTGAGCAGTAATAAGACACATTGCAGTGAGGAGACAATGAGCAGTTAAGAGAGGCAGAAGGAAGCAGCCCAAACCAGGAAGTGTTATGTAGTACCAGAAGAGATAATTGTAAAGCTCTTCAAACTAAATTAAAGAAATAAAAGAAAAAAAAAAAAAAAAAGTGTAATATAGTCCATGTTTCATTGGTTAAAGGCATTAAAAAAAAAAAAAAAAGTAAAATGCACCCACGTTGATTAAAGAAAACGTGCAGGTATTAATTTCAGAATTCAGGCCTTCAAGGCATTGCAAGCACAATCAGTGGATCAGGGTTGCAATGCAGTTGCTCTTGCAGATTCTTCTCCTAGGCCCAGATCCGTGATATGACTGCAACTGTACTCCACTGATATCTAGGAGTCCCAAGGTGGTAGCTTGTGTAGTCTTACCATTTACAGATGCCTACGAATTGATGAAGGGCTGTATGCAAATCAGGTAAGTGGGAGGATTTAGGGAGAAGGGTTTGGAAAGTTACACCTTAATCTAGGAGTAACATGAAACATGGTCACAAAAGTGGAGCAAGCCTTGGACAGAAGGTGGATAGAAGCCAGTGGGGGAGATTTACTAAACAATAGCACTCAGAATCTGGTGCAGCTGTACATAGTAATTTATCAGCTTATTCAATTAAAGAAGAACTCTGGCATAGGCAAAAAAAAAAAAAAAAAATACACAAATACTCATTAGTACACCCCCCACATAAAACACTAAACAGTTATTAACATTTTGAAAATCCTTACCATTCAGGAGAAAAAGTATATTTGAACTTTCATGACCTCATATCTACAATTCAAAAGATAACAGCATCTGCTCTGCCAAGGAGGAGGTGCAACAGCAGGAATTACATCATATCCTCTCCCGTCTTTCTGCAGTAGCAGGAAACTACAGTTCCCATCAATCACAGGGAAATGCCAATTCCCATCAAGCACTAGGCCTGTACATGTTGCATGTGTCTGAGAGTCTTGGACTGCCCACCACTGCATCGGGGCTGAATTACACCACTGCTTCCTGGAGAAAGAACTACCGAAAGGATGTGCCAAGACCACTGGTTGGGTGAATAGGAGGCATAGCAGCCTCCAGTCTTACAAACAGGAAACCAAAGAGAATTAATGGTTTGATTTGAAAATGAATAGGCTATTTAAGAGCAACTACTGAGTGAACCAGAAGATGGATGACCTATTCAGTGAAGGTAGGAAATCAGCAACAAGGACATGTAGAGAAATGTTTGCCCGGAGTTCTGCTTTAAGCTTTGACAATAAAACCTGGAAGCTGATTGATTTCTATGCAGAGCTGCACCACCAGATTTTGCATGTTCCAATTTTAGTAAATAACCTATAATGTCAATTATACATTTGTTTTTGTTTTTTTTTAAAGCAATGCCTTCCAAAAAAGCAGAAAGCTCATTGAGACATCAGTCTGCTCTTCTGCAGTATGCTATTGAATGACAGCTACTTTTCTGTGGCCTCGATGCTCAAGATAGGACACAAATAAGATCCATGAACAATCTCTAACACCTTAATCTGGTAGTTGGCTAGATTTAGACTCTACGCAGTTAACATACTGTATTAGAGATAAATTGAAGGGAATGCAGCATAAAAAACAAAAAAGTCATTTTCCCCCACAGAAGAGATTTGCACTATATCATGATGAGCATAAACAAAGACACTAAAAGGTTTAGGAGTGTTTAGTTCACTTACCAGCTGTTTTTCCTGTTTCTCCAAAGCTGCTCGATCTCGGGTTATAGCCCTCTGAGTGCCTCTTAACTCCTTATTCTGCTCCTTTATTATGTCTGCAAGGAGAACAAACAAGTTTACACATAAAAAACTGTCCACATAAATGTGTGAGAACATTTCTTATAACCTATGTGTGTGCTTCTTCCTCTCCTTCCGTAGTGTTAATAATGTGTGAGGTCAGCTATGTGATTGCTGATGAGAACAGCAATAACCAGCTGATGGTAAAGGAAGACTTGTACATATGAATATTTCATAGCAGACAATTTAAGAGACCTTGTATTTCACATCTAGAGGAATGGGGTCTGCTGAAAAAAACAGAAGTGTGTTATACAATGGCGGGGTCTAGTAAAAGCAATCAACAGCTGTTACCGCCTCAGAGAAGTACCGATATACAGTAATTACAGCTATTATTATTCAGTGCAGCTTCTTAATATGGATTTGTTTCTCTATTTTTTCAAAACTATTACCCATTCCTATAGGAGCGAGTTCTAGACAGATCTGTAGATTGTTTAAACAAAAAGTCTGGCTGTGTTTTTAAATATATACAAGTAATAACACCCAAGATTGTTGATCCAGGGAGCTTGCAATGACCCTACAGTGTCAGGGAGAAAGGGCAGCACAGAGGATTGGTTAGCATTTATGTCTCAGAGCACTGAGGGCCATCGGTTCAAATTTTGATCAGGATACTATCTGCATCGAGTTTGCATGTTCTCCTTCTGCCGGCATGGGTTTCCATCAGGTACTCTGGCTTCCTCCCACACTCCAAAACCATGCTGGCAGGTTATTTGGCTGCTGTCCAAACTGGCCCTAGTATGTATGTACAAATTGGCTAAGCACACGTTATCACATTGATGCCAGTCCTAAACGGAGCAACTGGGAAGGGTCAAAGTGTCATCAAATCCACAAAAATGTAAGTCTATTACTTAAAAATCTATTCTAAAGATATATGTAGAAGCTTTCCAGCATTTAACTTTTCCCTACTAATACCTACCTAGTTGACCCTGCCAGTTCCAAGAACTTTCTTGTTATTGGCAATAGTATAGCTGTGACCATCTGGCTGCACCATTGCCACTCTGATCACACAAGCAAGCTACCCTGTAAGTCCATGCGATCTCTCTTTACCTCTGCAAGACGCCCCACATGACTTTTTTTGTCAATTCAAGAGGCGGCTCCAGAGGGTTGAATGACAGACGCCTGGTCTTTCTGTGTCTGTTGCTATCCTTTGTCAGCTCACCGCTCAGTTGCCTTCACCCCAGGCTCTCTCTTCCTCTCCCCGCAGTTCTGCACCTATGATGCCTGGCTTATTACAGTGGCGGCTGCTCTCCCTTCTACTTGCATGGCGGTTGGCAGACAACAGGCCTGGCTCTGGCAGCAACCCCCCACTGCAATCCTGTTGGCCAAGAGGAGATGCACAGGCATCATAGCAGCGGTGGATGATGGGAGAAAACTGATCGGTGGACTGAAGAAAAACAGACAGCTTGGGAGCTTGCCAGGCTCCTATAGTCACATGTACACACTTCTCCCCTGCTCTCTGTCCAACCCTTTTACGTTTTATCCGTCGGCGCAATGGATACACACACTTTTTTTTTTTTTGCTTTATAAAGATTTTTTTCTCCCTGAATCACCTGCAGGTGTAGACCAGCATTGGCATATGATAGTTCCTTAGCATGTCATTTAAAACAAAAGGCAATGATCTAAGGCAATGCATGGTAACAAAATACTGGGAGTTGTGTTAGGAAAAAAGGATCAGGTGTAGTTTTGGGTCGCTCAGGGTTGTGTTGGCAGTCATATAAAAAAAGCTGAATTAAGGCAAAATGTGTTAACAAATGATGTAATGCACATTAATGTGTGTTAAAGTGGTTGTAAAGTCTTATTTTTTTTTTTTTTGTAACATAATAAATATGTTTATACTTACCTGCTCTGTGCTATGGTATTGCACGGAGTGGTCCAAACCTCCTCTTCTGGAATCTATTGGATAAACTCAGGGGACATGTGCTATCCCCTCTGTAAACCCATCTACGTAATTAAAAGCAGGCATGTCACAACAAAAGAGCCCATCCCCAGACCATTTACGAAGACCCTATTCCATCAGCGGAGGGCTGCCCAGTTCCAGTCTCTAACTAGGATTCTCAAACTGTTAATAAAAAATATACACACCACACCAGCTTAAAGCTGCAGTCACGTGACTTTGCAGTCCCAAGCCATCTGTCTCTCCTGTTTACATCCAGCAGGGTCCTTCTTAGGGTTTTCAGGTCACTGCCTTCCTACTGACTGTCCAGTGGTGGGGTCCTCTCAGGGGATGATGTGCAGTGCCCTTTGACCTCCAAATATGGTGTGTATTATGGCATCAATTTTGGTCCCATCTAACCAGACTAGATTCTCCCAGTAATTCACAGGTTTGTCTAAATGTTGTACAGCAAACTTTAAAGGAGCTTCAACATGCTTTTTCTTCAGCAATGGAGTTTTGCGTGGTGAGTGGATACAAGTCATGTCGGTTGAGTGCATTACTTAGTTTTCTTTTAAACAATTGTATCTGCTAATTCCAGGTATTTCTGAAGCTCCCCACAAGTTGTCTTTAGCTCTTGGACAACTCTTGATATTTCTTTTCACTCCTGTCAGAAATCTTGCGAGGAGTAACTGGTTGTAGCCGGTTAATGGTGAAATGATGTTCTTTCCACTTCCTGATTATGGCCCCAAAAGTGCTCAATGGCATTCAGAAGTTTAGAAATCCTTCTGTAACCAATGCCATCAGTATGTTTGGCAAAAATAAGGTTGCAAAGGTCTTGAGAGAGCTCTTCGCTTTTACCCATCACGAGATGTGACACCTTGGTAATGAGACACTTTTTTTAGGCTATCGGTTGAGACTGAACCAGCCGATAATAAATTTGCACTGACAAGGGCAGGATTGTTTTCAAATTACTGATAGATTTCAGCTGGTGTCTTGGCTTCCCATGCTTTTTTGCACCACCCTTTCATGTGTTCAATACTTTTTCCCTGTGCCATTTTATTACATATAACAAAATTTCTAAACTTATTTGTTTAGGTTTCTTTGCATGTATGGATTGTATGGGTTGTTACCGACATGTAGTGAAAATTTCATGTCAATAGCACCATTAGAGATATATTTACCCAGAAAAATGGTGATGAGTGAAATGTTAAAATACTTATTTTACCTGCTGTATACAGTATAAACACTACTCCAAAAAACTTCAAGGAACACTTTTTAACCGGTTCCCTACCACAGGAGGATGGCTACAGCACGGTTGTCTGGTTTTGGGCCGATGTCCATGGATGTCATTACAGAACACGCCCCCTGCGCTCCCCCAGTGGCCTGCACCAGTGATCACTGTGTCCTACGGACACAGCGATCACATGATACGGTAAATGGCCAATTACCACGTGATCAGCTGTGTCCAATGACACAGCAGATCACTGGGTATATACAGTTGCTGGTTATCGGCTGCACTTTCCTCACGCTGTCACAGTGTGAGGAAAGTACTGCCGATAACCGGCAATTATCAGAGAAGTGATTGGCACTGATCATCAGTGCCTTGATGATCAGTGTCAAGCAGTGCCACTCATCAGTGCTAGCTCATCAGTGCTGCCTATCAGTGCAGCCTCATCAACGCACATCAGTGAAGGAGAAAAATTACCTGTTTGCAAAATTTTATAATAGAAAACAAAGAACTTTTTTTCTTCAAATTCTTTGCTCTTTTGTTTATAAAGCAAAAAAATAAAACATGCAGGGGAGATAAAATACCACCAAAAGAAAGCTCTATTTGTGTGAAAAAAATTATAAAAAGTTCATATGGGTACAGTGTTGCATGACCGCGCAATTGTCAAAGTGCAACAGTGCTGAAAGCTAAACATTGGCCTGGGCAGGAAGGGGGTATAAGTGCCCAGTAGGCAAGTGGTTAATCAGAGTGTAGCACAAGTCAATTAAACTCCTGGGATATTGATCTGGTCAGTTAAGTAGCAGAGGGGGTTGTTAATCAGTTTCAGCTGCTTTGGTGTTAAATTAACAAGTGCACTAGATGGGAACAATGAGATGACCCCCAAAACAGGAATGGTTTTACAGGTGGAGGCCACTAACTTTTTTCCCCTGTTCATCTTTTCTGACTGTTTTTCACTAGTTTTGCATTTGGCTAGGGTCAATGTCACTACAGGTAGCATGAGGTAATACCTGGACCCTACAGAAGTTGCACAAGCAGTCCAACTCCTCCAGGATGGCACATCAATACGTGCCATTGCCAGAAGGTTTCCTGTGTCTCCCAGCACAGTCTCAAGAGCAAGGAAGAGATTCGAGGAGACAGGCAGTTACTCTAGAAGAGCTGGACAGGGCCGTAGAAGGTCCTTAACCCATCAGCAAAATCGGTATCTGCTCCTTTGTGCAAGGAGGAACAGGATGAGCACTGCCAGAGCCCTACAAAATGACCTACAGAAAGCCACTGGCCTGAGGGCCCGACATCCTCTAGTGGGCCCTGTGCTCACTGCCCGGCACCATAGAGCTCGATTGGCATTTGCCACTGAAAACCAGAATTGGCAGGTCCACCACTGGCACCCTGTGCTTTTCACAGATGAGAGCAGGTTCACCCTGAGCACATGCGACAGACCTGATCTGCCTTTACATGCACATGAACTTTAATGGCATCAGTGTCTTAGTCCATAGGGTTCAATATTGAGTTGACCCACCCTTTGCAGCTAAAACAGCTTCAACTCTTCTGGGAAAGCTGTCCACAAGGTTTAGGAGTGTGTCTATGGGAATGTTTGACCGTTCTTCCAGAAGTGCATTTGTGAGGTCAGGCACTGATGGTGGAGGAGAAGGCCTGACTCGCAGTCTCCGCTCTAATTCAGCCCAAAGGTGTTCTATCGGGTTGAGGTCAGGACTCTGCAGGCCAGTCAAGTTCCTCCACCCCAAACTCACTAATCCATGTCTTTATGGACCTTGTTTGTACACTGGTGTGCAGTCAAGATGGAACAGGAAGGGACCATCCCCAAACTATTCCCACAAAGCTGGGAGCATGAAATTGTCCAAAATGTCTTGGCATGCTGACGC